GTTGTTGATTGTTAATAAAAGCAAATACTCGACTCGTGAACTTACGGCGATTGTTATGAAGAGATACAATATTGAATCATTTGACATTTCGGTGATACTGCGCAGTGATTTACTCTCTTCTGCTGTACACTATGTGTAGCGATAACAATCAGAGAAAAACACCCACCCACTTCATGCAAATTGCTCTGCGTTGTCTTTCTCGCCTTATTGTTAGCCTTGTTAGCCTCGTTAGCAAGTCAGGGCTCCTTTTGAAGTACTTGCGCTGAGCTCTCTGCCGCTGTGTTTACAGGCACAATAACAGTTCAGGCTTAACCCGATCAGGGCAACATAGCTGTCATGTAAATGTCTTTATCTGATTACATTAATTGCGGTAAGATCCTAATCAGAGGAAGCAGATTCTTTTCAATTAATTGGGTGTGTAAACAACATTTCGTCTGTTATGTAACCATGAGAGCGAGCGAGATAAAATTTATGAGAGGAGCCGACTCGGGAGCAGCCTGTTTGAGTCTTGTGGGCTTTCAAAAAACAAAATACGCCTTAAATAATTCATTATTTCTTATTGATCTAAACACACATGGCTTGGACCGGATCTCTCGACGAATAACAACACATGCACATAAAAACATCTTGAGAGTAATTTAGAGTTATGCCAGTGTTTCTCTATACTGGTGACCATATAGAGATGCATCTCCACCTCTGATTCTGCATCTGACCAGCGCTCCGTGTGGTTTGAGGCTTAAATGATGCCAGAGTGCTGATGAGGAGCAGCTGCAGCAGCGCCACAGCATCAAGGAGGAGGCTAATGAAGTTTCACACTCCTGTGGGAGGCAGGAAGCCGACTCTCGTACCCAATGTGTGTGCAGCATATGTGTGTGCATGCTTTTTCTTGTTTCGCTCTTATTATGAGAACTGGTTCTGCTAAGTGAGCTCATTTGGGATGTTTTTTTTTCCCAATAAGGGGATAAACTAAAATAATAACAAAAAAAATGTACAGAATAAAACATGCAGAAGTCTCAATAAAACTTCCCCACCCCAAAGACGGATGTAAATATTGACGCTCATGTCGTAGCAAAAGCGAAAGCAGGTGAAAATGCAGCTTGTTTTGGAGCTGCACCACATTCTGGTCTTCAAAGTAGCACAACCTGAAGAGAAACTCCAAAGCTCTAAAACTTACAAACCACGTATTAGCTGTTAACCTTCAGAACCCTTGCCTTGTTGCTGCTGTCTCATTTTTCCCTCACTGTGTGCTCATATTTTTTCACTATAATATAAAATTCTCCATGGAAAAGCACTGGAAGGAGAGAGAACTCTGTTTTCTGTGCTATAACGCAACAAAAATGAGAGAAAAATGACACAAAAGGTGCAAAATTAACCAGCAAAAGTGAACACAAGGACACAAGAGCATGCACAAATGACACAAACAGACACAAGACGATGCATGTCTGCTCTCTGTGTAAACACAGCGCGCATCAGGAAAGTCCCGGAGTTTTCATCGCAGTATTGTTGATCACTGCTGAGTCACGAATGCCTTCACAGTTGCGACGGGAAGTGCGGTGTTTTTTTGACTGTTACAAAATCAGGTTAAAGCAATAGTTTTATTTTCAGTTCATATTTAAATGAGACACATGAAATATAACGACTTTGACGAATTACGATTAGTTCAAGGAC